ACACACACACACACACACACACACATATTGACATATAGACACACGCCAGCTACTCCTAGACACAATCAGATCCAGACTTTGAATAGGGTGGGCAAGGGGACAGGTTTGTTATGTTCCTTTCCTTTTTGCTTTCTTTTCAATTCTTTGCCAGTGCACTCTGAGGTACAGACGGACTTCAGAGCACCACGTCTGTTTTTCCTTTAAAAGAGTATGCCTATAATTTCTTTTTGCCTTTGCAGGAGGGAATTGTGTGTGTCGTGCAGTGTGCCTGTTGTCGACCATCGAAGAAAACGTACGACGAGGTGTAGTCTGCTTGCAGCGGTGACTAAGGAAAATCATACTTTCGTGTTCATCCTCGCCTCTAATATTGTAGCTCTATGATTGTACGAGAAGATCAATTGGTTGTTGTCGACTTTACACACACACACACATCACACACACACACACACACATGTGTGTGTGTGTGTGTGTGTGTGTGTGTGCGCGCGCGCGTGTGTGTGTGTGTGTGTGTGTGTGTGCGTGTGTGTGTGGGCATGTATAATAATCTGCAATGGAATCCGCTTAAGCCGAGCTCAGTAAATCCGAAAACAGCTGTAAACTGGAAAGAAAGAAAAGCTCCGATTTTTTTTAAACTTCTCCTTGAGCAACCCCTCTAAATAAGACCCCGGCTAAACAAAAGAAAATCGGGCAGTCCTGCAGATTTTGGTTTAATGGACGCCACTGTATACATGAATGCATATCATATTATTTCTACCATTTATTGTCTATGTGAAGAGAGAGAGAGAGAGAGAGAGAGAGAGAGAGAGAGAGAGAGAGAGAGAGAGAGAGAGAGAGAGAGAGAGAGAGAGAATGGTAAATAAATGTATAATACATTTCTACTATTCAACAGTATCTTGCAAGGTGAACTCATGATGAGATGATGTATGTGAATGATTCTTAAATGACAGACTGAAAACAATGCGGCATAAAAAATCATACAAAGATTGTACATGTACGTCTGATCATTTTTTTAAAAAAACCAACTGATCATACTTTGGAATCATTTTGTAGGTTGTTTGTTTTTTAAATTATTAATCTTGTTTAACTTACCCAGCGTACTGCAAACCTTCACGTGACAGTAAAAAGCATAGTAGGCCTATTTATGACTCATAGGCTAACACATTTTAATGATACAACTGATGAATGTTTGAAATGTGATAGTGCACCCGTCTTCGGCACAGGTCTCGTATTCCCGCCCTCCTCCAAGCCGAGCAGGCAATGTAAACCACAGCTCCAGTCTTCTCGTTTTTCCAAGCATAATTATTCTTTCACTGAATTTCATCAATTCGATCATCCCGACCTTTTGATATAGTAATTCCACAATAAAAACAAAATCTAGTCTGAAAAGACAAAAAACCCAATCTTCTTTGAATCTTTGAAAGTTTTTTTTTGCTCCCCCCTCCCGACAAAGGAGTATGTTAGTTACGGTGCACATTTTCTAATAACTTCGTCACTTTATGTATTTTAAATCTTTAGCACCCATGTGCGTAGTGATTCATGCGCTGAGGGATATGTGCAATGTGAGCTTATTACAAATGTGTTGCATAAATATGTAAAGTGAGTGCACGGCCTGCTTTTTAAATGCTCAATAAATAAATACTCATTTTCTTAAGCCTTTTAAGAGAGCAGAGTACTCTATTCACATTGGCACTTTTAAAGTGTGTCTACATTTCTGTTTTGTTTGTTTATTTGTTAGTTTGTTTGTTTTTTGATCCTTGGCAGAAGTTCATGTGACTTTAAGATTGTTTAATTAAGTACCAGTAATCATCTGTAGCCAATATCCCCTTCGATGGAAGGCTCTCAAAACTTCAAACAAAATTTCCTTGGCACCCCGTTCCAACTTATAATCTCATTCCCTGGGGAATATTGAGCGTTGGGGCCTTATAGTTGCCACCATTTTCTGTTTCTCACATCATTATTTCTCCAGTCTCTTGGTCTGTCGTAAGCCCTCGAGTATGATGCTTCAAAAAGTAATGGCATTGGTAAACACACACAAAATATAGTTTTGCCTAAATTGAAAAAAACCCAAACGGTTTTATTATTATTATGAGTGAAGTCTTGGTTTTATTTCCAAGAAAAGCATTCTTAAATCTGTGGTTGTCACATATATTACTGTGTTATGGCTGGTCTGCATAGATAGCTTCGTAAAAAAACAACAACCAAATGACTCGCTCACTTTCGTCCATCTGTATTTTTAGAAAAGCATATTTACTTCTGTATAAATTTGTCACTAAGTATGAAACTTTTGATGGCACTCATGTAGAATAGCAATAAAACCTTTGTTTTTTTAAAGATCTTGATCCAGTAATTAAAAAAGTTTCTTTATTTTGGCCCTATATTAAACACTGCCCTTTAGATGCATACATATACGATCACTACAACGGTTTACAGTAACCCAGTCTACAAATTGCTCATTTTGAGACAGGATACCACCTTGCCTCCACATTCATTACAGCGTCTCATCCGTGTCCAGTTCAGGAATGGGCTGGCTTATTGGACATAATGAAATTTTGACAAAATGACATCATCATCATCATCATCCTCATCCACATCATCATTCTCATCATCATCATCATCATCATCATCATCATCATCATCATCATCATCATCATC